TAATTTGTACGTTTATTTTTCTTCTAATGAATAATATTTTTGTTGTTGGCACGCCTCGAGGTAATATCACATTTTCCTAGATAATACTTTTATCCACTTGTTCAATATTTTCGTACAACTTCAGTAGGGAATTCTGTCATTCGACCACAACTGCTCAATTTGTAATCTAATAAACGGACACACGCTGTAAAAACACCGGCAGCGATCCATCAGCTGGCGAAGTCATTAAAAAAGCTCAACATTGGGGTGTTTGCATGATTTTTTTCCCCTACAGGTTCCAGGGTCCCAAAGCAGCCTATCGTGCTGTAATCTGACCACAATCATTGAGGAGAAGATGACGAATATGTCCTGTGCACATTGTTAGATTTTTCAAAATGCGTCAAGTGTAAAGAGCACCAGGAAACACTCGCACTGCTCTGAACACAACAAGTTGTTGGAGCAGATACGCGCCCGTTGTCCCAGCATTTAGAATCAAATGGTGCTAAGCCAGTGAAACAGGACTCCCAGGAATATTAATATCAATCTGATGTTGTAAAATATTAAAACAATATAATAACTCCAGTTGTCGTGCAACTCCAGCGCTTGTCGTGTGCAGGCTGTCCCGTCCCGTCCCGTCCCGTCCCGTCCCGTGCCGCTCCGGCCGTCCTACCTGATGTAGTCCCGTTTACAGTAAGTCTTTCCGTCCCTCACGAAGCACGTGCACGACTCGTCCAGGTACTGGCTGCACTCGGCGCATTTCAGACAGGCGGCGTGCCACTCGAGGTCCGGGGACACCCGCAAGATGTACTGGTCGTGGATCTGGTTCCCGCAGCCCACGCACAGAGACACAAGCCGCTTCTCTGGAAGACCAGCAAGAGCAGGACACATCATGCACGGTTCTCTCACAACTGTGTGCTGACTAAAGTAATTATTATTATTATTATTATTATTATTATTATTATTATTATTATTATTATTATTATTGCTGTTGTTATTTTGTTGCTGTTGTGGTTGTCAGTAGTAGTTGTATTTTTAGTCTTATTAATATTGTGTCGTAATAGGCCGAATAAAGATGTCTAGAGTTATTTCCCCGACACGTCTTTAAAATGTTTTTTAGTTTGTTTGTTTGTTTGTTGTTGTTTTTTTTTAATGATACCAGCGGCTTCACAGGCCAAAAATATGCTCTGTCTGCTGGCATCGCAACACAATTAAGTCAGCTCTCAAGTTGTGGCAAATTTAGTTCCAGACTCGCATCCCAACACCGGAGAAGTGTCTTACTTTTCGGCGGATCTCCCATGTCTCCCATGTCCACAAAGTAAGGCGACGTTAGGTCCACTGTCACAGCGGGCTGCGGTTCCTGGAAGCCTGGATGAGTCCTCCGCTGCCGTGCTGCCGGGCCAGGGGCTGTGCTGTCCGGCTCGGAGAGGGAGTGTGTGTGTGTGTGTGTTAGTTGCCGGTGTGTGTGGAGCTCTGATCCTGACAAGCGGCGGGGCTGACGTAGGACATCAGCACGTCATCTGCATGAGCAGCTGATTGGCTCTGCGGACCCTGGACACACACACACACACACACACACACACACTGGCACGCTTGCTTCTGCATATCTTTTGTTTTCCAGCTTTGCTTTGCTCTTTTCTGACCCGATATTTTTTTCTCTTATTTTTTGTTCTGATGTTGGTGCTGAGCGGGTTGTTCTTCAGGAAATAATTGCTTTATTGTTTCCATAAAGAAAACACACTCTTTTTTTTTTAAACTTTTCATTTTAGCTGGACACACAGTAGCCTAAACAGGACAAAATCTCCGACACACACCGTGGAAACAGTCGCACAGCAGATGGATTCAACTGGATTTACAGTCCACAGTCAAACCCGTGAGACGGAAGAATATTCACCTCCCTGTAGCTACAATCTATGAAGAAGGGCCGTTGTGCCTACACTCATACATAGAAAGGCAAAAGGCCTTATGCTAGTCTCTGATTTAAAACAAAAAAACAAAAAAAACTTTGTACCTTTACTAAAGTAACTTAACTGGGACTCACAAAGCGCCTTGCAGTGAGTTCAGTGACTACACAATTTTAGTAGAGTATGTGAAGGGCAAACCTGGAGTATTAGGATGTCTGATGATCTGAGGAACGTGCAATGCTTGAACAAAACGAAAAATGTCGCCAAAACATAGACGTGCGTTGTTTTTCAGCATAGAACAGCTGATGTGAGAGTCGCAAATCAGAGTGGTGACAGGCCAGGACCTGCAGAGTCCCGCTGACACACTCCAACACGCCCTCTTGTGTTGGTAGGTTAGGCCAAGCTACACATCAGGAGCACACACAGGACTGCACTAGGATTCAACAAATGGAAATGAGATAGATAGATAGATAGATAGATAGATAGATAGATAGATAGATAGATAGATAGATAGATAGATAGATAGATAGATGTGCTCAGACACAAAGATCCACTTGTAGACAGACAGGGCTGCAAGATGACATATATTGTAAACTGCACCATCCAAATAAAATTGAATTGAACTGAATTGAGGTCTGTGACTGTGACTGACAGTGTTTTGTTTTTTTTTTAATGAATATCAAGAATTATTTTTAGTGTTTGAAATCTTATTATACAACAAGTTTTCAAGTTCCCCTCTTTGGTCACATGGTCTGTCCTGTAATTGCAGTTCACCATTAAATTGAAACACAGTGAATGATCACTGGAGAATGTTGACCAAGAGCCCACTGAAGCCTCACTGAGTGGTACAGCAGGGCCTCATGGTGTATCTCTGAACATAGATGCAGAAAGCCTTTGCAGGCCCTGGAATAAACGATCACATTAACAGTCTAAAACCACGAGTTTAGACACTGGGGCAGGAAAGAAACTTAAGCAAACCCAGGCCCAGCTGAACAGCACAGTATGTTTTGATTTCACTACAGTTCTAAATCCTCAAACTATACCAACACTAATGCCACACACCATAATATTTTTTAGTGGGGATTGTCCTCATTAAGAATGAGCTGATTTTCCTGACCTGTGACCTCTTCTATGCAACTCAGTAGTTTTAAGAGTTACTGCATATTCATAAAGAATGATTCTGGACCTCATTGTACGCCCAGTGTAAGCTTTCGGTGTCAGTATAAGAAATACTGTGCTCTCTCTGTGGTGAGCCAGAAAATAAGGGTGTGAAGATTCAGGTGCTGGATGGACATGTAACGTGTATATAATTAAGTGTTTCCTGTCACAATACAAATTTACTGATTGATTGATTTATTATAATTGATTAACTTATTGTGATCTTTTTGTAATTATACCATATGTGTTCTAATGTTGTAAAAAACAAATAAATTCAACATGACATATGACAGAAGCTATGTTCATTTACATATAGGATATCACAGTCCATCTCCCACCTCCTACTAGCAGGTTCCCTTATTCATTTTCCTAAACTTAAAACAGCAGTTTAAGAAACTTATGTGACTCCCATGAGTTGACTTTGTAGTGCTTGTGTGTGTTTATCAGAAGGGACAAAAGACCTTTTTGTTTACCTGGATTTGCTCATACAGTAATATGACATCTAAATTTTTAATTATAATAATACTCAGAAATAGCTCAGAGTGAGCAAGCAAGTGTTCTCTTGGCCATCTTAAAGGTTGCATCCAAATGAAATAATGAAATCTCTCATCAGTGCTGAGTAAAATTAACTTCTTCATAAACTACTGATGTCTATACTCTTAAATTCGTATCAATGTCATCTATACAGTAATTATCTATAAGTATGAGCAAAGGCTGCAAGGTGATGCAGTTGGTAGCACTGTTGCCTCGCAGCAAGAAGGTCGCCAGTTCGCGTCACATCGTGGAGTTTGTATGCTCTCCTCGCGCAGCTTGGGTTCTCTCCAGGTTCTCCTGCTTCCTCCCACACAGTCCAAAAACATGTTGAGGTTAATTGGTGATTCTAAATTGTCCGTAGGTGTGAATGTGAGTGTGCTTGGTTGTCTGTCTCTAAGTGTAGCCCTGTGATAGACTGGCGACCTATCGCAGGGCCTTCACCCTAAGTCAGCTGGGATAGGCTCCAGCCTCCCTGTGACCCTAGTGAGGATGAAGCGTTGTATAGACAATGGATGGAAGTATGAGCAAAGAGTAGTTGTTGATTTGAGTCCAGCATTCTGTCCACTTTCCCTTGTCAATAATCTGCATCGACTGCCTGACATGCTGGTAATAGACTTGGGGAGGCTTCTTCACCTCTAAGATTATTTGTAAAATTGCATTGTACAGGTTAAAACACATGAACATCTTTAAGGGAGAAGCAGAATCAAATAGTGTTTTTGACAATAACAGTATGAGAAAGAAGGAAAACAGGGACCATGTTTGCCTGGTTTTGCCAGTGTCTGAAAGTTTCTGTCTTTTAAAGTCCATAGGAAATGAGCTGGGGAAAATGTGCAAAAGGATGCTTTTTTTCCCCTAAGAAATAAAACCTGAAGGTGAATAAACATTTGCTTTTAACACCTCAAAGCTGTGTAACAACCTGCTTGTGGCCCGTCTCTGTTTCAGCACAACGTCACCCTTCAAAAAGCCAGCTTCATAAAAAATATTTTCCCACTTTTGTATAGAAGAACTTGACTTGTTGGCACAGAGCCCTGACTTCATCCTAATTCAGATGTTTAGAAGTACTCTTGTGTCTGAAAAGGTGCAGATCCCTGAAGCCATCTTACAAAATCTGGCAGAAATGTCTGTTATTAAGTGAAGTTTTGAAAACTGAATTCTTCTTCTTCTTCTT